CATCATAATGAACTGATTGTTCCTCTCCGCCAGAGAATTGTTCTGAGGATGATTCGGTAGAGAATGATCGAATGGGATCTTCAGCTGCTTCATAGCCGTCTCAAACTCTGGGGCTTTGTCGGCATAAGCAATCTTGGTCTTCTTCAATCCTTTGAAGTGGTTTATTGCATTGACCACGTCCTTGGCAAACCTCTCTTTCGACGGATAGGCCCATATGACGCCTGTGTACCTGTCACGAATGACGAAGATCTCTCGATCAGTACTGATCCCTTGATCAAGGATGTTCCTCGTATCGACAAAATCAAAGGTAACCAGATCCCCAAAAGCTTTGAGCTTTCTCTTGAACGCTCCTCGATGCGTCTTGAAGTGTTTCATCTTTGCTCTGATGCATGACTCACAGTAGGGATTCTTGTAACGGTGTGTGAGTAGATGTTCGATTTTCCTGGCATCTGCTTTCAGAGTTCCTCTTCTCACCATTCTGCTTGCACCGTCAACAATATCCACCTCGATGTCATCTGCATCATCATCGTCAGCTTCTGGTTCACTGTCTCCGGCGACATCTGATCCTACCTCATCTTCTTCTCCAGGAGATGCCTTGAACTTCTTATTCCTCTTTCGTCTTTTGACTTTTGGAGGCTCAATCACAGGGAGGTCGTCATCATCACACATGACGCCTTGAGGATCCACATCACAGTTGATGAAAGCCGATTGGTAATCAGCTTCACCTTCTCCTAGGGTGAACCTTGCGATCATCTCCGCCCTTACATCGTCGGTGGGGTTACAGAAGTCACTGCCCTTGACAATATATGGGATGTTTCCCTCTACTTCTAACATGATTTTCTTGTAGTTCGGGGAAACCATGTACGGGTTGCCGCAGGCTGGCCATATGAATGTGTAACCTTCCTCCATGCATTTCTTTCCAACAGACAGTACTGAAGGAGACTCATCTAAGACGAATGGGGAGTAGGTAGAGTCAAATTCGTCGAAATGAATGTCGGCGACTCCCTTTGTGGATGTCACTCCATTTGCGGTATAGAATGACATTGATTGGTCGCTTTCTCTCACTTCCAGACCTAATTTCTTGGCTCTGCCTTTCGATATCAAATCATACCCACATCCTGTGTCCATGATGAACTTTGTTCTTGACCCTTTGGCTGGAATAGACAATGTCTTTGTGTCTGCATGATCTTTCTTTCCCTCGCATACATGAGGAATGACTTTATGATGGAAAACTAGGCCGTCATCTTCGTCAAAAGACATAGTGACCGCTAGGTCACCCTTTGGTCCAACTGGTATTCGGACCCTCTTGATCTCAGTGTAGGGGACCATCAATATGCCTCTTGCCTCTGCGACCTTTTCTTCAAATCTGATTTGTTCTTTCCTCGTGTAGCAGGTGAGCTCTTTCTCATCGTATCGTTTGATGTCTGGACGTAGAGGTTTCCTTTCTACTACCTTCCATTTGTTCCTGACTGAGTAGATCGCTTCGTTCAACATGATCTCACAAGTCTCTTCATCAAAGGATACTTTTGCACCTCCTTCTCTTGCCTTGGCGGATGCAGCAATCCCTTCATCTTCGGATTCGTCCATGAAGAGTTCACCGTCAATGGCTGTGGCTCCAGGCTTCGCCTTAGGCTTCGGTTTGGGTTTTGCCTTGGGCTTTGGCCTATCGTCTCCTGAGTCAGCTGGTGCAGATATCCCTTTCTTAGGAGAGGCTTTTGGGTCATGGTAGAACTTGCAATCCTTCCCTTTGTCACAAGTTCCTCGAATCCACATCCAACATACTGGCTTGTCATTCTTTCCGACAGAAGATCCTCTGGATGGTGATCTGGGTTTCTTGTGACTGAATGGGCAATCTTTCCCCATAGTGCAGTTACCTTTCACGAAGAATTTGCATGGTATCTTCTTCTTGTCTGTACTCGGACTTCGGCTGCGATCCTTTCCATCACCTTTACCTTTCCCCTTTCCCTTTTTGTTCTTGTCTTCAGGATGCTTCTTGGGATTGGGTTTCGGCTTCACTGCAGCAGCGTCTTCTGAGACAACCTGTTCTTGTTGCCCTTTTGGTTTCTTCTTCGGATCAGCTGGTGCAGCTTTCAGTTTTGGAGCAGGTCCGCCTGGTTTGAGATTCTGAAAGATATTGGCCACATTCTTCACTGCCTTCTCCTTTTCCAGGATCATCCTGTCTTCAGTTTGCCGTTCGATGTGCCTTCTGATCATATCACGTAGATGTTTGTATGTCTTCTTGGCATCATCGTCGTTCATGCTGTTGTAGGCGCTGATGTCGTATGCCATGAGGTTTGAGTTCCTGATCTTTCTCCATAGGAGATCCCGAAGAGTTTCGTCGCTCGGGACGTCAACGGGCTTCATTCCTGCCAGAATCTCATCCCAAGTGTGGAAGAACAACGATAAGTTCTTGTCTCCTTGATATTCTAGTTGGTAGAGGTGCATTGAAGTATATAAGACTTCCACATTTGATGTTGTCTTGAAATTCATAAGGATCAGGGCTAGGACCTCTCTTCCCTTTATGAGGCTTGATGTTCTCCCTTTTGCATTGATCCTCGTCCTCAACTTCATAGCTACACCTGAACCATCATCTTTCGCATCCATGACGACCTTGGTAAGAGCTAGGCCGAGTTTGGCATCGATTGAATGGAATCTTTGGTCTCCTGAGTCGACAAACTTGTCCGGATCAGGATCGTCCATGGCTTCTTTGATCCAGTCGATCCAGGGCTCTTGATCTGAATCATTGGCCGCAATGATGATCGATTGAATGAGATTTGCCTTCCATAGTCCAAGATCATTGATCCTGGGCCATGACGGAACGTTTATCTTTGATTCTTCCTTCCTCGATACTTTCATGATTGTAGAGGTTGCCGGTGCAAGATGAGATGAAGAGGATGCTTCTGCTTCTGAAATCTTGTCCCTCAATGATTTGTTCGCCTCGGATAGCTCAATTGATTTCTCCCTTTCCTCGGCGTACTCATTGTGGGTTTCGGCATACCATTCATACATCTCATCTCGGCTCTCTGTCATTTCATTGTACCCGTCCTTGTAGTGCTTCGCCTCCTCTTTTGCGTTCCGAATCTCATCTTCCTCGGACGCGTGGGTTGGTAACCCGCGGTCTCTGGAACTAGGACGCTTGCTGTACCGAGAGACTATGGGTGCCATTCGTGCTTCTGCTTTTAATTTCGCATTTTCCATAATGACAGTCTTTGTCTCCTTCTGGCTTTCCAATAGTGCATTCTCCAGTTCTCTGATCTTCTGTTGAATTTCAGCACCATCATCGCCGAACATAGGAGCTCTCATCATATTCTCTCTTTTCAGCTGTGCGTTGGCTTCGGATAGAGCGAGGTTGGCGTCTTTCAACTGTTGTCGTTCACGGATGGAACCTTCTAGGACTTCGTTATTGAATATTTCTCCTTTTGCGATAACCTCCTTTGCGACGTTTGCTTCGTATTCATGGTGGCTCGCCTTCATTTCTGCCATTTCTTTAGCAGAGACTTCAGTCTGGCATACAAATATCTCCATCCTCATGCCCACTTCCATCTCTTCTATCTCCGCTCTCGCGTTGAGTTCAGCTCCACGTGCCATAGCTAGTTGACCTCGTAGATGATCAATAACCATAGCTTCCTGATTGCTCTGATCTTGAGATGAGTGAACACTGTGTTGAAGACGTCTTTCCCTGACCTCACTGTTCCATTGTTCTTCTCTCTGGTGTTGGATCACCTCGTGCATGTTGACATTCTCATCCTGTAGCGCAATCATTCTAGCTTGTATCTGGTCAGCTATTCCGACGAAGGCTGTGTTCTCATCCTGAATGGCTTTTGATCTTCTATTGATCGCCAATGAAGATTCATTCTGTTCTTGGATGTGTCCAATTGCTGCTTGAAGCTCTTGGGACATTCTGTCCTTCGTTGCTTTCACAGATTCAAGCTCTGAATGTTCTTGATGAGTTTCTTGTGCAAGCTCTTGATATCTCATGTAGATATGTTCAGCTGTCGATTCCGCCAAGCGTAGCTTGTGTTCGAGCTCTTCAATTCTTATTGTCGCTCCTTCATCTTCCTGTGTCATCTCTTGTAGATGTTCCTGCATCTTCCTGTTGTAGTCAGACATTTGCCTGAACTCCACTTCAGCCTCGTGGTGTAGTCGTGAGTATCCGGCTTGGATGCATTCATATTCTTCATGAAGAAAATTGTATGCGTTTCTCGCCGATCTCAATTCTTCACCCAGCTGAATCTCTCTTCTTTGCTCTTTTGTTCCTCTATCATCGTCACGTCTCTTCTCTATACTCCTTCTTGGGGATCTCGCGGTAGACGTTATAGGCGATGTAGATCTTGTTGTAGCTCTCATCGATCTTCTTGGTCCTACGGGTGCAAGATCGGTCAGATTCCGAGCCGGTGGCACGGATCTTTCCGAGATTTGTGATCCAGTAGGCATAGTGATAACGTCAGCATTTGCTGATGAATCAGTACCCATTGTAGAGTCTGGTGACGAAATGGTGTTGGGACCACCAGGAGCAGCGAATGAATAGGGTTCGCTTCCATTTCCTCCTGAGCTTGACATTGCAGGTTTCTGTAATGACTAGTCTTGTTCTTGGTCTCGTGTAGCTCGTACGGCTATAAAGAGCGCGTACGGCTGATAACCTGCGAGTGGATCTTAATCAGCGAAGTTTGAAGCTATCACTGACGATCCATAAGCGGCGTAGCGTCGGAACGGAAACCGCACCTTTTCTAGTCGCTTGATCCTTGAGCCAAAGTACATATGGTACATATATATGTACAAGTTGCACTGTACGTGTCGCTGCACTTCCATTCGCATATTCCCTAGACTTCCAAGACCACTAAAACAATGGTTGACCTGGTGTTTGTAGTGCAAAACCCTTAGTTGGTTTGGTAAAGCCTATTAAATTAATGGTGGTTGGAAGCCTAGGGTATTGTATTATATATTTATATGCTTCTACACATGTATTATTTACTAGGCCGGAAGTTGCCATCAGCTCTCAGGGCTTCACTCGATGTGAGCAAGAATGCAAAACTCCAGCAGATGGCGTTGGTTGGTTGGCACTGGTCTCTCGGCGTGAAAGGGCGGGGAAGGAGCAAACTCCTTGGCTGTCAGTCAGTTGGAAGTTGGAAGTGGCACAGGGGGGACTTCATGACCAATCCTTCCAGGTGCTAGCAGCTCGCGTTCAGTCCAACCATGCGTCTCGCCACACATGGTTCGTTCGGAGCGTCTCTATCCATCCGTCCCAGATCCCGACGCCAACTCTCCGGGTCGATGGTCTCGAGGCCAAAGTTCTCTCGCCCATGGACTCCGTGCGCGATTTGCCGGCCGCCTTGGTCGAAGCAGGCGCCGCCCGCCTCTTCTTCCGGGTCGATCCCGGCTCCGAGTCCGTCCGGCACGCGCCGTCTTTGGACTCCTTGGACTCCTGGGAGTGAGTGAATGAGGGAGTGATGTGGCCTTGGCACCCTGTACAGGTGCCATCCGAGCGGCTGCCAGCATCATGACTCGCTTCATTGAAGATAGACTCGTGCAATTGCATGGGCCCTTAGTGGTCACAGAGCCCATGACACCTCAATGTTATGCAAGGCTTTCTGAGCAATTCCAGGCAATGAACCTGAAAGAAACGCTCAAAATCATCCGATCTTCGGAAGTGCAGGAGTGTTACCGTACTGGGCTTGAACACTGAAGTAGTTCCAAGGACAGGCATCGAAGCCATGTGGGCAGCTCAAACTCTTCGGTGAAAGAAAGCCAAGAGAGGGAGGCTTCGCTTCAGCCATTGCGACTCGCGGCACTCGCCCTTTCTTCGCAGAGCTTCACCCTGAGGTCAAGCTTGGTTGGAAATCGATGGGCCGCCCCCTGAGTTGGAGACATTTCGGGAGGCGCCGGAATGCAACCTCGGCCTGGCTGCCCCAGATCAACTGGATCTAAGGCCGGATTGCGGGCCTTTGCAGATGTTGGTGGTATGGAGTCACTTCGTGGCATTCATAGGTTGCATTGATCTGTTTCTTCCTTTCCCCTGGCAGCGCCACATTTTGGCTGGGTTGATGTTTGTGCAGGTGAGTTATGTTGGCAGTGTGCCTCATGTAGAGTCTAGAGTCTGGAGTTGTTTCTACAACTCTTGCAGCACCATAACAATACGACACACATCTGCAGTTTACTCTATATATATATACTTAGAGAGAGAGAGAGAGAGGGAGAGGAGACGCATTTTCCACACAGATCCATTTTGTCATCACGTTGCGCGTAGGACAGTCAGCTCCCCCAGTTCTTTTTTTCACCGGGGGCCGTTGTACCCTTGGCCCCACAAGAGTCCGATTGAGCTGGGTGTGGGCGATTCTGCTTCAGGTCAACCTGAAAGACCCACCGTTCAAGCTTTCAAAACACACCAAAAGACACCACCACGTTGTGTTCATAAAAGGCACCATCAAGAAGCTCGCTCACCCAGCCACTCAGGAGAGTGGAGGAAGCCATGCGTCGTCATGGCCAGGACTCGATGATTCAAACGAAGGCCCGGGCCGTCGGTGAAGGCTCTGACCAGAGCCCCCGGCCGAATCGATCGGTATTGAACCAGCGAAAACCTGAAGGGGTGAAGCTACCATCGCCGCCTTTCGACGCGACGGAGCGATCGAAGCGTTGATGGGACGTGTTTTTTGGGGGTGCCTGACCGGTGCGTCACCGGTCGCCAGGGTGTGCGTGCGCTGGGCAGCGGTGTTCAATGGCCTCAAGACATCCAAGAGAGAGCTCGGTATTCCCATCGGCGGCTTGGCACTGGCAAGTCAGCAGACAAACAACAAATCCATCTGGCTTGCCAGATGGCAAGTTCCGCCCAAATCATCCGAGTCAGTTTCTTCAAGTGGTCACACAGGACCGTAGATTCTTGCGACAAGCTAGAACAATAGAGGACTCACACGCCTGTTCACCAGCTCGGCCGCCAGACTCAGGCGAGCGGTCGATCTGACAAAGACCGCCGGGATCCCCGGACGGTGGACGGTGTCCAAGCTACACTCCCGAGTCAACTAACATAGACCCTGACGATGGTAACCTGGAAGATTGCTTTCCTCTACCAACCAGTGGTTTTCAGGGTCCATGCTAGTTTTCGGGAGTGTAAGCTGGATGTCCAAGCTGACGCGGGAGCCGGAACTTGGCGACCGAGCACGGGGCCACGACTCAGCACCGCGGCCGGATGTGGAGTTAGGCCGACCGCGCCAGCCAGCTTCGATTGGGATGCGTTTTTCCAACTATATAACTCCACCGAGAAGACCGACCACCGACTTTAGGACTCCTTTTGTTGGGCAGAATGTGAAAGCTGGTCGGCGAGCATTCCGACCCAAGTGGTGACGCGGAGACGACTCGTACGACGAGACGACCGTACGACGTTGGGTACGACGCAACTCCCACGATGTGCCAAGGCGATGTCCCAGCATGGGGCAGATGTGGAGCTCCAGATAGCAGCCCTCGAGGTCCGGACGAAGAGTGCTTGCGTGCAGAGTGCGAGGGAGATGGTCGAACCCTGCAGTGAGCTATCAAAATAGCGTCCGAAGAATAAGAGCCTCCCAGTAAAGAAGTGTCATTGGCATGTAATTACTGATTACATCGAATGACCATTCTTGCCAACTCCCCACAAAACTATCATTTGGGACTTGAACTGAATGTAAGAGTCTTGAGTCCTTCGCTCCTTCCTTGTGACACCCTTCTTAAATGATGATGAATGATGCCAACTGCGGATCCAATTAACAAGTCTTATTAGGTGGCACGTGTGTCCACGCCCATTTAAACCATTTATGTAATTTTATAAAAATCTACAATCATGGTAGGATTGGTAGGCTTCCGCGCGTGACAATGCACCGTGCACTTCATCGTACGTCTCAGAGCATAGGCTCCTAGGCAAGAGCAGTATACAATCATTTGGTGCGAGCAAAAGAACAACAGCTTTTTCGTCGCTGGCATGTTCGGGGCACAAACAACTTGCGCCAAGTGACCTAGTGTCTGACTTCGTGCAGGCGCTCGCCAAGTATTTAGACAAGACCAAATGCGTCCGAACCTGAATCCAGAAGTTGTTTCAAGGTTTTGAAGAGAGGCTGTCGTTTTTTGAACGTTGGAAGGTCAGAGAGCAAATGTGTCAGGATGTTATAGAAAGGCCATCATGGCTGTGGATGGATGTCCATGAATAACATTGAATAACCCCATTGTTGGTGTAGATATTGCATAATATGGCAACAGTGTGCCAATTGCTCAATAGCAACCCATTACAAATTTTAGGTCTGGCTTTCCGCTTCTGCATGTTTTGAGAGGTCAGCACAGAATTCTTGGCTTCCCGGCTGGCATTTTTTTTTGTCCTCGCCATGAACCTCGCTAGGAACCCTCGCAATGAAACCGTGGCTGGGTGCGTAAGACCCACGGCGGGCTTGAGGTGCCCCAGGCACCGCGACCGAATCAGAACGGTCGTGGACAGAAGGCGACAGCTGCAGCTCTTCGTGACAGCTGCAGCTACAGCTGCACGGAAAAGGCTCAGGGTTTGGCCCTTGCCCTTGATTCACGCGTGGCTGGTGGACTCTTCAGTCTGACCCCGCCTTGTCCACGGTGTGGGGTGATAAGAGTTGCAGTATTACCACCCTGTCTTGCGTCGCTGCTGAATTCACTTGGTCTCTAAGTGAGAGCTCTGTGTGCTCCTCGGGGCACAGGAGCCAGCACACCACAGAAAGTTGGGAGATTTGGGGGAAGGATTGGGGCTTCCAAACATGTCAACATCGGGTTCAGAGAGCCTCCATGCAACTTGAGGTGTCCTACGCCACCCACTCGGCTCCGGCATTCAACCAACCAATCCAATCTTGTTTATATACATTGTACTCCAACCTTGTTTAGAGTTTACTGTAATATTTGCAGCATTTCGTACTCTTCCACCGTTGGGTTGCTGATTTTGGAATGCCTTTTATTCGCTCCTGTGCCTAAGGTGTCTGACATCAAGGATGCAGGAGGCTGGTTTTGTTCGTGACTATCTGGGGTGGACAGAAGCACTCCCAAGGCTGCTGAAAGGGAGCACTTGAGTGAAAGGGCGGGGCACCACCGGATAAAGTCGAGCTCCGCAACTGTGCTCCGCAACTATTTGGTCGGATTCCGCAACTGGAATTCCGCAACTAGGATTCCGAAACTATATAGGATTCTGCAACTGGGATTCCGCAACTAGGATTCCGCAACTAGGATTCCGAAACTAGGATTCCGCAACTGTCAGGATTCCGCAACTAGGATTCTGCAACTGGGATTCCGCAACCCGCAACTAGGATTCCGCAACATTGTGGGTTCCCTCACTAGGATTCCGCAACTTTGTCAGGGGGTTGGTGTGATGTCGAGATTACACGATGGGGGCAAGGGGTGGAGGGGTTGGGTGGGGGGCTAATGACGTTGGTTTGGATGTGCTTCGAAGGTGATGTCACAGGCACACGTTATCGCATGATGTGGAGATCACCAGTTGCAAGTTTCAGAATGCCACTTGCAGAATCTGACTTTCCAGTTTCAGAACGCCACTTGCAGACTCTGACTTTCCAGTCTCAGATTACAAGTTTCAGAATCCCAGTTCCAGAACCCCAGTTTCAGAATCCTAGTTTCAGAACCCCAGTTTCAGAATACCAGTTTCAGAATCCGACCGATTAGTTTCCGAATCCGGCTCTAACCGGGCACCACCGATTGGTCTCGTGGCCCTCTGGATGAGGGAGCCCCTTCAGAAGCTCTTCGTTCGACCACGCGCCATGGAGAGAAGCAATGGCCGCATTGCCCATTGCGTTAGGGTGGTTGTGTTAAGAAGGCGCCCGTTTTTCAACATCCACTCTGGGGTCATCCCCCGAAGACATTCTGTGATCACCGTCGTGGCGTTTCCCCAGAAGAAGTGTGTGGTTTGATGAACGTCCCGCCATTGCGTGGGTCTTCAACTTGACTCCGTCTTCCGTTCAGGCGAAGGCCTAGTGAAGATGATGATGACCACGCATCATTCCAATGCCAAGGCGCAGAATTACTCTCACTATGTCACTATGTCACCGCCCCACAGGGCCTCGAGTTCCTATAGCACAAGCACCATACACAGATTGCAGCTGGTCGCTGGCTGCAGGTTCAGCAGTGGGGTCGTCATGTGCTTACCGGCATCGGGGCCGCCCTCTCAGCACCGGACCCCACGCACCGGACCGTCCTCGGATCCGGACCGCGCGCGCGCCAAGGCGGATCCAAATTGGGCCCCGAAAGCTGGCGCGTTGCCTTGATTATTGAGAAACTCACATCCATGCTTGTGCAAAAGCGGAAAATACCCTGTGAGCATGTTTTTGCATGTATTTTTTCAATCTATTTTCACCGAAAAAAACTAATGTACACTTCGTATGCATACCATTTTTTCAATTTGTACTGTGCAATCTTTCATGAATATGTTCATGTGAACGCCACAGCAGTGCCGCTTTCAGTATAAATTTTAATGAAGCATCCTTTTGCTATTTTCATAAATGCAAAATAACAACAACATATATATAATTATATATATAATATATATAAATGTTATTATGTAACATATAGTTCAGAAGATGAGAGATGTCTGAGTGGCAGATAAACCGCACTCTTAACATCAGTAATGACAGACACAACATCACACAAGCGCAAAGAGAAAGCGGGTTTCCGCAAACAGTTTGCGGTTTGGATTCTTTGGGTCACAGTCTGTGGCCACGTGGTCTCATCCTCTGTCCGGGCGTTGACTCAAGCGGGCCCACGATGGCCCTAATTCATGGCGTTGCGGCGCCCGTACATGCACCGAGCTGAGGTCATCGAGGTCATCGAGGCCCAACATTTGGGGTGACTCATTTTTTAGAGGTGATGTCTGGGACATTGATGAAAGTGCAGCGGTTGAATCTTCTTGCAACATTGTTTCTATTGGGTAATTCTGCACAGAACCTCGAGGCGGATATTGCTGCCAATGATTTACTGGCCGAAAGGTGTTGGTTTGACATGCAATGTGCTGATTTGATGTGGTGATGTCATGTGGTGTGGTATAAGCGGCCTTTGCTGTCGAATCAAGATGTAATCGATGCGTGAGGCATGTGTGCCATGAGTAAAAGTGTGCTGATAACCCCCTTTACAGTTAATGGCAATGAGGTCCTGATTACGCAGGAGCTGCTGCAGGACATGGCTGTCAGTGTGCACATTGGGAAGGCTTCTGGGGTCTTCGGTTCCTACAAACGGTGGATCAGCACGAAGAACCGTGTTGAAATCGCCAAAAACCATCAGATAATTAGCCTTAGGTATATGGTTCAAACACTCTTGGAGAGCGTTCCACAACTTCAGTCGTTTTTGTAGAAGGGGTTGTGAGCCATTGCAAGTATTCCAGGCATGTTGATAAACAATGAGAAAATCAAACGTCTGCTTAAGAAAAACTCGCACATGCACAAGGCGTCCTTCCACCAAGGTTGCTGTGGCAATCCGATCTGTTGGAGCTATAGCGGCACGTATCAGCAGCAGAACAGAAGCTTGCTTGCAAGCCGAGTGAGTGCAATGCCAGTCCGAGGTGCTCCATGTGGCCGAGAAACACCATCCCGTCTCCTGGATGGCTATCACGTCCAGCGGTTGGCTTAGCCCACAACAGCAGTTCATCGTAGACCAATGCCTTCGAGGCGTTCCAGGTCATGCAACGCAAGCCAGGTGCAGTGGATGCTGGCTTCAACTCCTTCCTAGTGGCCGGGAGCTGTCTGAATGATTCTCTGAACCTCCACGGAACATCGGCAGGGAGAAGCCATCGTCCTCTGTATTCAGCCATGCCCTGTCGCATAGCCCTGTAGCATGCTCGACTGTATGCGCGCTTGATGCGCAAGATGCGCGGCCGGGCAGAGACTTGGCCGTAGCCACCAAAAGCCCAGACCTCATGAAGCTTCGTGGAAGAGGGAGGCAAAACAACGTTGGGGCCTCCACTCTCGCTCAGAGTTGAGGAGCTCTGAGCAACCCGCACGCCGGACATAGTGACTGGCTGAAACGATGGTGCATCAGCTCTCATGTCCCCCATAATTGGGACCGGGAAATCCAGTTCGGTCGTCAACAAAAGAGTAATTGCAGCAAGGAATGGAACAATCCAGGGCATCATCGCAAAAACAGGACCACGCGAATCATGGCACCCCGCCCCAAAGCGGCCGCAAACACTTGAACTGGAAATGGCGCTTTAATGAATCACAATTATTTATGATATATCATTTTGTTATAAAATTATTTTCATTATTACGATAAATGTATTAAAAATAAATATATAATATAAACAGAATACAATTATTTTAGGTAGATTATTGCATTATTAATTCAATATTTAAAAATATTATATAATATTAATTGTTATATTAATATATTCACCCCAAATTAATTGCTATATTAATATATTTATCCCATATTAATTGAATATAGATTTGAATTTAATTGTTATTAATAATTATTTCATTAATATTTATAATTATATATATTTAATTTATTTTTGAAATTTTATTTTAATTATCTATTAATATTTTAACCAAAAAATAAATTAATTATTTATATATTTAAAATATCGAAATTATTTCTACAAAAAAATCAATATTTAATAATATTATTTATTAAATTTAAAAATACATAATAAATTAAACAAAATTTCATAAAAATTAATATATACATATTATTATAACATTATTAAATATAAAATAATAGATTAATCAAATAATATATATATATTTAAATATTGAATATATTGAAAACACTATTAAAATATTTTTTACATAAATATAACATTTTATTAATATTAATATATATTATCTATTGTTTGAAATTAAAAGTATATTTCGTTCAAGAATCTTGGTTTAGAAATCGCAGCTTATGCAATAGGCTTGGGCCGTTGAATTGACCCGTGAATTGTGGTACTTCTGGCCAGCGCTTGGCTGTATGGACCTTTCCTGGTACCTGGTGTTTTTCTTGGCCCTTTTGAATTTCCTGGTTCGCATCTGTTTCGGCTGCTGCTGCACTTTAGACTTCATCTATATATCGGAGGGCTTGCTCCTTGGTTGGGACAGCAGCCGCACCTACATTTGTGGCCTCACCTGAGGTGGTGGTGAATCAGAGCCTTTAATCGAGGTGTCGGTTGTCGCAATACGCAGGGCCTGGTGTATGAGCTCAAGCGGCTCGGTTGAGGAGGTCATACTGGCTTTTGGTGGGCTCACCATTCGAGTGAGTCGTTTTGAGGTAGCATCTGAAGAGGTCAACGAGTGCTAATCTTTAGAGAATCGGACGTTTGGGATCAATTTCTTCTAGCGGTTGATATACCGCGCCCTGGAAAATCTGGATCTTTTTTACCTTCTCCGCCGGTTGCGTGCTGCTGCCGGAGATTGGTCTCCGTCTGCCCGATTGGTTAGAGCTTTGCGGTTGGGTGTGGTGGCTCGTTTTTAATTTGAGGAGAGGCCTTAACCAATCGAAAAGCAATAATTAAAGAAGGTATTGCAAGATTTGGAGTGGGTTCTGGCCGATCCTTTGCAGCAACTTATGCTTCTTTAGATGAAATAGATGAATCTGTTAGCCACACAAATCCAACCAAAGATATCCGATCCAATTCATCAAGATCTAGCTGGAAGGAGAACTTCAGAATCCTCTGGCGGGGAATGGAATCAAAAGGCGCCTGGCCCGGGAGGCCTACACCGAACTCGCAAATGATCTGGAGAGAATGGGCGCGGTGGTGCGAGCCAACGCCTTGGCAGAATTAGGCCTATATCCTGCATATATCCCCCTGGGTTTGCTAAGGGAATATTTCGAGAAACGGATACCCCTAGGCGATTGCAAGATATTAATTCAACTCGGATACTTCTTTCCCCACGACTAGGAAATGGCATTTCGCTCGGGAAATCAACAGACAACCGCTTTGCGCTAAAGGCATAACCTACATCAATTAAATTGCAACGGATGACGGGAGATCAACTTTGAGGTTTCTTGGGCCTAGGATCATTTCCAATTGACTTATTACCTCCCAATTAATTCTTAGATAGATTTACACTTGTAATTCGGACTTCAAAATCCTTCATAAACGCGATATCTGCACTAATCCAGATCGGAATTACAAATCTAATAATGGGGACCATCGATGACCAAGAACTCTTACGTTAATATCCGACTTTTTTATATGGCCGAACATTAACCAATTCAATGCGATCATCAAATTTTATATAATAGGTCCGAATGCGAAAAAATCAATATTTCTTTCGTCCAAAAATACAGAATTCAAAGGATATCCATCTGCCGCAATATAAAAGGACAGAATCACCCATCGGATTTACATATCCACCAACGTCGCGGAATCGTTCCAAGCTTTAGCGAAGAACACGCCAAATCATTATATATAATAATAAAAATATTAGAATCTGCCAAGAAAAATCTATATACTATTTTTTCCTATATTACCGTCCCTTTATTAAAAAGATCCCTCCTCCCAATAAAATTTATCGATTTTCCGAAACTACATAATATCAAATTATATAACCATTTATATATTAAGAAAATTTGGAATAATTAAACATTATATAAAACGAAAATTAATCAACGAACATAATATATATTTATATATATATTTATATTATCGTTTTTTATATTCATTATACAAACATATTTCTCTTTAATATCAGAACTGATCCGCTGTTTCCAATAGCGGGCAATTACGGAGGAAGAAAATAGAAGATTCAGAGGTTGGAAAAAGAATAGGACAAAGATAATACCGGGGCAAAAACCGACATAACAATTAAATAAAATATATATACTATACAAAGAAACATAATGCCCGTACTTCTTTTCTATGCCTGCAGAATAGGCCGCATGGATAGAAAAATCATTGAAGTGGTCCACGATATTTTTGCTGCAACAAAGAATATATACAATCAATATCTGGTAGTCCAATCTGCGCAACAATCTTAAGCAACAATTTCTGCCAAGATCGTAAGAATGTCAGAATGTCAATAAGATCTGCGGAGGATGGCGCGCTGACAATCCATCCAAACCTAGGAGCGCGGTTCGTTGCTGGAATATTGCGATCATTCTTGGCAACCGCCGATTATCGGTACGATGGGGGTCGTCACATAGAATCGAAAAAATCATCCACCGTCCCCATCTATGCATCGACGAATGATTCGGAAGTGCGGTCCTATAGGACCTTCATTGAAAATCCTTGCCAAGGGAATGGGTATATCGATGTGTTGAGCTGTGCTCGGCGCCACTCCTGCACACTCTATTC